AAAAAGTACCCTAAATGCGGAAATTGACCAATGCATCACTTTTCGATTTACCGAATTCTCCGAGTGTCTCATTCTTTGTTAGCTTTGTGAAAAAGCTGTCAGCGAACTGCTTTGTCACTTCACATTGCTCCAATTCTTGCTCCATTCGTGAAAGGAGCAAGAAAACTCCACTTGAAGCTGGTCACGGTAAGGCCGTGACCAGCTTCCGTAACCATGTGACTGCATGCCAAGCACTCACAACCCGATAAAAGTCAGGTCGCAATATGCGCCAGGGATTCGATTAAGATGGTTCCTCCTGTTCTGTTCGTCAAACTAATTGCTCTCAACTTCATTTCTTAAATGAAGAATATCTGGATGAGGTCCCACAAATGGCAATCGCGCAGCCCTAGTTTCCTGCTTTCTTCAGAAACGACAGCAGCGAGGACAATCTAAGTTCTCCAGAGTTGGCGGGGGCGAAGAAAGCCGTGGGTTTTCCCTAGAGATGGCAATTGCGAGGGCAGCCATAGCTACCAGGTGGCAGTGGTGAAGTCCCTGGGAAAAACTCAGGCGACGACTTTTAATATAAAAAGGCATCAGCATTATTCGAACCTGGCACACGTACAATGCGCAATAAGGCAAATAATAGAATAGGAACTACCAAATCCCAAGGAAGCAAAGATGAGGAACCGTTGACTTTCGTCGTATGTGGATGTGTAGGATACGGCTCTTGATGCGTACGCCAAACAACCATGTCTAGGTGGCCGGGAGCAGCCGCTTTCCTCCATTGTCTACTAAATATCCGTCAACCGCCACGCCTGGAAGGGAAGTGATTGTTTTCATGGAAGACGGGGACCCCGCCGACCCAGACTGAAAGCTGCGCGGCGCATTGGGTCATGTTTCCTGGTCTGGTTACTGTGGACGGACGGAAAGGAAAAAAAAAAAAGGGACAAACCGACTCCAATATCTGGCATTTCCCCATAGTACCTATAGGAATGCCAAATAATTAACTGATCAATTAAATATCCGAAGGCCGTGGAGAAGACTCACATTTTCCACTAACACGCTCAAGGATAAACTTGCGATAGCGGATATTTTTAGTAGTGGCGGTGATAAAGATTGAGCGAAGACGCGGAGGTATTTACTCATTCAAGTCAAATGCTTCAAATACTCCAATGTCAGACAAGCCTAGTATGGGAATATAACGAGCTTTTAAACTTGGAAGCAGTGTGCCTAGAGTACGTCTGGCACTTACAATAACAATACCTGAAATTAAACACGATCTGAATCTGAACTTGGAAAAAAAAGGAGGAAACGTCCCGTCGTTGGAAACCCTTTGAGACGCACGAGCTACTCGCAATGGTTGAAGAGAGGCGATAAGACCTTGCACTCTCGCGCTCGCAAGTGTGAACCCCGAAGCGGTCAACGTATTGACCCTAGGGTCTACGAAGGGACCCTTCTTCCATATGATGATGTGGAAGACGCAGGTTGACATGCGCCTCGACTATGTGCAGCTACACAAACCGCCCCTCTAGACTCAGCTATGGACGCATTTCGGTTTTCAAAACGCCTTTCAGGCGACCAGGCTCAGTCGTGTCATGAACCGAAATTACATGGTGATTACTTCTTGAAAGAAAAATTAATGTCAATGCAGAAACTGGCCAATGAGTAACATTTCAATTTAGCGACTTCTGAGCGAACCATTGTTCAGGTTAGCTTTGTAAAATAAACTTGTCGAACAGCCAAGTCGCGTGCACCGACATTGCTCTAATACTTCCGCTGTTCATGAGTAAGCTTGACACGTCCACTTGAAGCCGGTCACGAAGACAGTTACGTGACCGCATGCCAAGCGTTCACAACCTGCCAGAAAGTCAGGTCGCAATATGCGCCAGGGATTCGAGATTCGTCACACTAACGACGTTCGACATTCCTATCATGCTTAATGTCTGGATGAGGTCCCACCAATGGCAACAGCGAGGACCGCCCCAGTTCCCCTCTCTCTCCAGAAATGACAGCAGCGAAGGAAGTCTTCGTATGGTTCCATCCAGAGTTGGGAGGTAGCGACGACAGCCATGGGTCTCAATTTTCTCCAGGGATGGCAGAGGTGATGTCATTAGGAGGAACTCAGCTGACGACTCAACTTTCATGATGAGAAGGCATCAGCATCATTCGAACGTGAACACCAACAATGCGCAAAAAGGCGAAAGGAACAGAGCGAGGGAATGACTTACCATATCTAGAAGACTTGGAGATGAGGAATCATTGACGGTTGATGCTCTGCTTCGACTGATGCATGAGAGAAGGCATAGCGCCGTCTTATATACCCCTCCCACTCGCCTGGGGCTGGACGGGTCGACCTTGGGTCTCCCCTTCTGCTGGAGATAAGTATCTCCCCCTCCACCTCATTCCTTATCTCTGAATTTCCTCATCGTCTAGGAAATGGCAGCTGATAGGCTTGACTCCTTTCCGACAATGCGAGGAGTAAATCGCTCACACCCTAGGGGAAAAGTACACGAAGGACTGAACTGTACTTTCCACACTCTGTCAGTGGCATTCTTCATTATGATATGAATTGCATAGTAATCAGATTTTCCATATTACCATTTTGATATGAGCACCGCATTGCACTCGTCGAATGCTACTGAACACACCTTCTGAAAATATGAAATGCAACTTCATAATTTAAAAAAATATATCTATTTATTTATTTATAGTATAGTATATAAATTTAAATACCTGGCGTCAGAAATTACTTTGGTGCAGTTTTGGAACCTGACGGTTCTGGGGGAGGGAGATGAGCGGCTATGTAGTCCTTTTTTTTCCCTGTCGCCTAGATTGGTTTGAGTGGGAATGACATTCCAGTTAATTCCCATTTTTTGTATGAAACAAACAGTATATGCAGTGTAAAAGAAATTATTTCGTACTGAATTTGGCCAAGGGCAAGAGAACCAACCTTCGGACCCAGAAGCCGGAAACATAGAGACCCAAGTCCAACTATCGGAAATAGCCTGCAGCTACGGGCCAAAGCTGAAGAAAGTTAAAAAGAGGAAGGACAGCGAAGGATCCCATCCTTGAAGTTTGTCAGGCAGCCTGCGTCTTCAGGGGGCTGAGGTCTCAAGTCTGACAAGCGAATCATATTCAGAACGTTTCTGCCGTCAAGTGCCGTCAGCTGCAGATGTAAAACGTCCTAATGCCCAGGAAGCAACGCTTTATCCCTTATATCTATGATAAAATAAGGAATTTTGACATTGAATTTCTAAGCCTGCCAAAATGCTAAAAGTAACATCCCAGAGCATATTAGCAAGGATGTTGTGCATTCTCAATTGAAAAGATTCTATCTAATCTGTTCCCACGTGGCTGGATTTCATTAAAACTGTGAGCTACCAAAGGCTACTCTGCAATGGGTATTAAGAGAATTTTTTTCTCAGAAACTTTTCAACCTGTTTGCTCAGCAAAGCAAGTATGGTCTACTTGAATTTGCTCCTGAAGGGGGCGATTTTTCTGCAATTCGGTTGTTAATGACTTCTTTCAGGCACTTGAAACTTGGCACTTGCACATTGAAAGTTCTCTAGATTTTCTTGAAAAAAAAAAAATCTGGTCATCCTACCATAAGCCACAAGCAGTAGGCCACAATCTCAGAGTGTTTATCGACGCCTTCACTTAAGGCGGCTGTGGGTATTTTTGCAGCATTGCCGCATACACAAGAATGCATGTATTTTTTGTCAATATTTTGTGAAATTCAAAGGTGGCAAACCCTATCAACGGAGATATTGAATGAATCTCCATAATGAAGGAAATTCTGGTTCAGAATCCTGCCTCCTATCCCTCAATCACTAGTGAATCTTCCCCCCCCTTCTCCCCCCTTCCTCACTAATTACTTCAACTTGCTGCGAATTGCTTGCCTGTCATGGATAAATATCTGGCAGCAATTTAGCGCGGGTGAAGAGTTTTCGTCATGAAGGAGATAATCTCTGTTCCCCATCCTCCTCTCCCTTCTCTCCCTCTCCAAGTTTTCGTCTGGTTTGGAGATGAGTTGGTGGCTCTAATCCACTCTAATCCTTGTGCATTTTGTAGCTAGAAACGACGATGAACCTCTCGATCCCGTCTCCTCTCTTCTACGTTCATGCTTTCATTTTTCGTTTCGTCCGTTCTCTTGTATAGGGTGTCCCAAGAGTGTCAATTCGTTTGTGAGTTTATCCTTCAACGATCGCCGTTTATTCCTTTCCACGTTCGCAGCCGATAGACACCGTGGCGTTTTGTGCCCGATTAATTATTAAAAATTATCATGATTAATTTATGCGCATGCGACGGTGCTATTGATCCGCGTTCGCAAAAAGTTCCTTTTTACCCACGGGAAGGTCCAAGTCGATGTGTGGGAATGACTACTCACCCACAAGGGAGCAACCTCGGCCGACTTTTCTCGACGATTTCAAGAGTCAATAAATGAGGTGTGAGCGTCAGGGAAGGTGGCGAGGGGAGAGAGGGAAGGTACGGAAGTGGGGGAAGGTGGAGGGAAGGGGAAGGTGGGGAAGGTGGGGAGGAGAGAAGGGGGAAGGTGGGAAGGAGGGATGGAAGAGGATCTTCATTGGAATGTGGCTTGGTGATATCTACCGTGAATCAATTAATTACAGGTTTTCCAGGCTTGATTTCCTACAAAATTCGACGAATTTAAATATATGAAATTGGTTCATTATTGACTCCAAGCAATCATGAGGCCTTCGATGGTTTTTTGGCTTTCATTGCACCATTTATACGATACTTATTAGCACTTTGATTTCCACATTTCTTGAACGTTCACGACAGTTGCCTTTCTTGCAGTTTAGCTCCTTCGATGGATGCCCACGCCTTGCCTTACTTTTCCGAAGAGATTCGTGGATGGAATCCTTTTGCGTTTCCGGGTAGCCATCCGTCCTCGCCTCGTTCCTCCCCGGATTAAAAAATGTTATGACAAAAATTAAAATTCGATCGACTGCTTCCCAACGGTTTTATTTACAACTCTTCAATCCTCGACGGGAAAAAAAGAATCAATGCGCTTGGGTTTTGAGATACATTTCTCTGGTCAGCGTGCTTCGGACGGTCGGCATTTCCTTCTTTTCATTGTAAGTTCCATGCTGCTGCTTGGTCTTGAACTGGACGGCCATGATCTGAGCGACCATGTTCAGCATCTTCACCACGTCCATGGTCTCGGAGTGCCGTTCCATCACCTTGCACAAGGTGTGAATGAAGCAGGAGCCCATGTCCGGGTTTTGATTTGCGGCACACCCTGGACAAGAGGATGAACTCGTTATTTTGGCTTCATACATTTGGTGCAATGAATTTTGTATATTTGTACTGACCTTCGAAGCGGGCTTGAGAGATGAGAATGTCGGGGTAGATTGGCAGGTAATACTCGCCGTGGTCGTGGTCGTCGTCGTCCTCGTCGAGGCCGGCTTCCTCGTGCCTCCGCTCTCCGTGCTGCCGGTCTCCCTTCGGTCCGACGTCGTGGCGCAATCCACTGGATGTCTGGATGGAGGAAACGCATGGATGAGCATGGGAACGCCCGGATGAGCATGGGAGCGCTGGAAAGGGTGGCTCGAGCTCACCTGAATGAGGAACAGTTTGGGTTTCCCGTGTAGGGCTTCGCATTCGTAGAATCGACTCCAGAGTTTCCTCTCGTCGAAATTGTCATCCTTTTTATAGATTCCGCCTTCTTTCCTCATGGACAGGACGCAGACGACCAGGCAATCGTGCTCCTTCAGCTCCGCCGAAGCTGTAACTGCGAAGAGAATCCTAAAATGGTAACATCCCTCCCAATAACACCACGTTCGTGCGTGGTCAGTGGTAGGTATTCCTCTTGATTCCAAAAAATTCCCTTAAATTAGAATCCTAATCTGGTTCTATGTTCACCTTTTTCTTCTCTGACGATGGCTGAACAAGTATGGGATTGCCGAAAAGAAAATGCTTTTTGCAGCCGCAATTGGTAAAATATAGGCTGGGAAACGTCGAGAAGGACTGCAGAATATTTATTCTTCAAATTTCGTCTTAGATTATAAAGGAAAATCCATATTATTTCATATTGACGTACATTACCCGAATTTTCCCCGAAAATTTTGTCAACCAGCTTTTATGACTAATTTTGCATTAGTAGGTGCAATGAGAGATTGTTTTTGGAGGGCACGAGTCACGTGCCCTCAATGTCCCGCTAATTCAGTAACTGGTAATCGACGAACGCGAACCGATTTAACCATCGCTTGGCAGAAAATGCAGATCGCCCCGATGCAATGCGCAGGCGCGTTCGAAAGACGCAACTCACACTACCACATTCCTTTCCCAGCTATAGCGATACTAAGTTTCTCCGCCGTTTTGGCAATAAGTTGGTCTCCTTTGGAATAAACTTTTGCGCTTTGGCTTGATGTGAGAGGCTGACCAGCTACTCCGAATGGTTCCGAGTTGCTCCAGTGTTAAAGGTACATTTCTGGCATGATGGCATGGTGTCATGGTGGCATTGTGGTTTGCGTGAGAAGAATGTGAAGTAATGGTTGTATTTTTCTTGTGCGGCATGTTTCCTGCATGTTATGTTCGAGAGTTAAAAATGTTATCTAGGCTTCATTCACCCCGAGATGCCGTCTAATCGTTCTCTTCGCCAAACCGCGCGGACTCATACGCAATTCTGCTTTCATTGTCTGATCATAGTGGCTGAGGGAAACCGACCTTTAGTATGCTAAACGAAACGGCTATTAAATTTCGGTCGTTTAAAACGCGTGGCACGGTTAAGCATTGGTTAGCCAATGATACAATCATTTCCCTTCACCTCTGCAAGACCGGCAATTAATATTTTTGATATTCAAATGAAGTCTCATTGAGAGGAGAACAGTATCGACCGAGATCAAAAATGATTTTTACGGAAATTTGGCACACAAACTCCGAAAGTGTCCATGCGAAATCTCTTACTTTCATCCAGTTCTTGTTGGATCCCATGATAGGCAAGGTTCTTGTATTCCTTGACCGAGAATCCTCTTTCTTTGAAGACGCGTTTCAGATTATCCACGTCCAAGTGCACGTTCCTGCGAGGCACGTGCATGTGCTTGGTGTCGAATTCTTCGTCGTAAAATATGATGGCCCATCCCCGGTACTGGCCGGGTCTCAGGTCCTTCGTCGGGTAGCAGCCCAACTTGTCTGGGATTGAGGGCTCCCANCTACCGTGAATCAATTAATTACAGGTTTTCCAGGCTTGATTTCCTACAAAATTCGACGAATTTAAATATATGAAATTGGTTCATTATTGACTCCAAGCAATCATGAGGCCTTCGATGGTTTTTTGGCTTTCATTGCACCATTTATACGATACTTATTAGCACTTTGATTTCCACATTTCTTGAACGTTCACGACAGTTGCCTTTCTTGCAGTTTAGCTCCTTCGATGGATGCCCACGCCTTGCCTTACTTTTCCGAAGAGATTCGTGGATGGAATCCTTTTGCGTTTCCGGGTAGCCATCCGTCCTCGCCTCGTTCCTCCCCGGATTAAAAAATGTTATGACAAAAATTAAAATTCGATCGACTGCTTCCCAACGGTTTTATTTACAACTCTTCAATCCTCGACGGGAAAAAAAGAATCAATGCGGTTGGGTTTTGAGATACATTTCTCTGGTCAGCGTGCTTCGGACGGTCGGCATTTCCTTCTTTTCATTGTAAGTTCCATGCTGCTGCTTGGTCTTGAACTGGACGGCCATGATCTGAGCGACCATGTTCAGCATCTTCACCACGTCCATGGTCTCGGAGTGCCGTTCCATCACCTTGCACAAGGTGTGAATGAAGCAGGAGCCCATGTCCGGGTTTTGATTTGCGGCACACCCTGGACAGGAGGATGAACTCGTTATTTTGGCTTCATACATTTGGTGCAATGAATTTTGTATATTTGTACTGACCTTCGAAGCGGGCTTGAGAGATGAGAATGTCGGGGTAGATTGGCAGGTAATACTCGCCGTGGTCGTGGTCGTCGTCGTCCTCGTCGAGGCCGGCTTCCTCGTGCCTCCGCTCTCCGTGCTGCCGGTCTCCCTTCGGTCCGACGTCGTGGCGCAATCCACTGGATGTCTGGATGGAGGAAACGCATGGATGAGCATGGGAACGCCCGGATGAGCATGGGAGCGCTGGAAAGGGTGGCTCGAGCTCACCTGAATGAGGAACAGTTTGGGTTTCCCGTGTAGGGCTTCGCATTCGTAGAATCGACTCCAGAGTTTCCTCTCGTCGAAATTGTCATCCTTTTTATAGATTCCGCCTTCTTTCCTCATGGACAGGACGCAGACGACCAGGCAATCGTGCTCCTTCAGCTCCGCCGAAGCTGTAACTGCGAAGAGAATCCTAAAATGGTAACATCCCTCCCAATAACACCACGTTCGTGCGTGGTCAGTGGTAGGTATTCCTCTTGATTCCAAAAAATTCCCTTAAATTAGAATCCTAATCTGGTTCTATGCTCACCTTTTTCTTCTCTGACGATGGCTGAACAAGTATGGGATTGCCGAAAAGAAAATACTTTTTGCAGCCGCGATTGGTAAAATATAGGCTGGGAAGCGTCGAGAAGGACTGCAGAATATTTATTCTTGAAATTTCGTCTTAGATTATGAAGGAAAATCCATATTATTTCATATTGAAGTACATTACCCGAATTTTCCCCGAAAAATTTGTCGATTAGCTTTCATGACTAATTTTGCATTAGTAAGGTGGAATAAGAGATTGTTTTTGGAGGGTACGAGTCACTTGCCCTCAATGTCCCGCTAATTCAGTAACTGGTAATCGACGAACGCGAACAGATTTAACCATCGCTTGGCAGAAAATGCAGATCGCCCCGATGCAATGCGCAGGCGCGTTCGAAAGACGCAGTTTACACTAGCACATTCCTTATTTATGTATGATCATTCCTTTCCCAGCTATAGCGATACTAAGTTTCTCCGCCGTTTTGGCAATAAATTGGTCTCCTTTGGAAGAAACTTTTGCGCTTTGGCTTGATGTGAGAGGCTGACCAGCTACTCCGAATGGTTCCGAGTTGCTCCAGTGTCCAAGGTACATTTCTGGCATGATGGCATGGTGTCATGGTGGCTTTGTGGTTTGCGTGAGAAGAATGTGAAGTAATGGTTGTATTTTTCTTGTGCGGCATGTTTCCTGCATGTAATGTTCGAGAGGTAAAAATGTTATCTAGGCTTCATTCACCCCGAGATGCCGTCTAATCGTTCTCTTCGCCAAACCGCGCGGACTTATACGCAATTCTGCTTTCATTGTCTGATCATAGTGGCTGAGGGAAACCGACCTTTAGTATGCTAAACGAAACGGCTATTAAATTTCGGTCGTTTGACACAAGTAGCACGGTTAAGCATTGGTTAGCCAATGATACAATCATTTCCCTTCACCTCTGCAAGACCGGCAATTAATATTTTTGATATTCAAATGAAGTCTCATTGAGAGGAGAATAGTATCGACCGAGATCAAAAATGATTTTTACGAAAATTTGGCACACAAACTCCGAAAGTGTCCATGCGAAATCTCTTACTTTCATCCAGTTCTTGTTGGATCCCATGATAGGCAAGGTTCTTGTATTCCTTGACCGAGAATCCTCTTTCTTTGAAGACGCGTTTCAGATTATCCACGTCCAAGTGCACGTTCCTGCGAGGCACGTGCATGTGCTTGGTGTCGAATTCTTCGTCGTAAAATATGATGGCCCATCCCCGGTACTGGCCGGGTCTCAGGTCCTTCGTCGGGTAGCAGCCCAACTTGTCTGGGATTGAGGGCTCCCATTTCGTCTTGCTGTGGAATGTGCGAGAATACATTGTATAAATTTGTATGGTTATTTTATTTCCGCAAGTTCCGAAATTCGGGGTGGTTCCGTTTCGAATCAGATACTTCGGTGAACAAGGTCAAAAATACGAATTAACATCATCATATCAAAACCACGACGAATCATTTTCACATGCTATTTGCTGGTATGAATCACTTCCTTGAAAGTGATACATACCGTGTACATTGGGTCGACTACAGTAGGCCGACTTAATCTTTGTTGGGGAGGACTCACCTGTCTTCTGACATATCCAGTCGAGATCCTGCAGTCACTGAAGATGTTGGCACTCTCGCGTCTCTGAGGACAATGTGCGCAGTGGGGACGCACGCCTCCCCCGGCGAAGGTAGCACCTGGAGCCGCGATCGATGCATCATGTAGTCATTGGGTCGATCGATCAAGCGCAACTCGGAACGGAAAAGTCTGCTAATGTAATCTTCCGACCGATTGACCCCTTCTACTCCCCGGTACGCACATTTGCTTCTTAGGTGCTAAAATGTCGTCAACTTGGAGCTTTCTCAGTATTAACTGTCCCGATGAAAATGCGAAGCTATCCTCTTTTGGATGAGTTTTAAATTTAACCGTTCCCTGACGATCTCATGAAGAAAAGCATTTTGACCATGAGAGCAGCATTTCTCGGAGGAGATTCACATGGAGCGCTTTCAAGAGAAGGAAATTGGAGCCAGAAAATGTTACTCTCAGAAAAAGCAAAATCGTTTCCTTCTCCTTTCGCAGAAATGAATCGCAATCTCTCTTAAGAGCGCGGGGACCGCGTGTCACCTCGTACCGAAATCGCCACCTTTTCTGCCAGATCCTCATGCAGCGAGTATGATAGAACGTTCTCGTGGTTATCTTTCAGGATGTGGCTTTTTTTTTCACTGGCATCAAAGCATTATGTGAAAGGTAAGAAACCAGATATTAAACACCGGTTAGACATATTTTAATAACGCCTGATTGAATGGATGTATCTGATTGGAAAGAAAGTTCTCGGAATTTCTTGAATATCCAGAACAATTTTTTTCCAGAGCATGCTAGAATTTTCTGCGTGTGTTTATAAGTAGGTCGTGTCCTTCGGCATACAACCGAATATTATNCTTTGCTTCAAACAAACGGAGACCCATGGAAAGCTGTAACATGGCAAGAACGTGACTGGTGAAGCACTCAGCTCAAATGTCAAATTTCCAAAATATTTTTAGGGGGCATATTTCTTGGGGACGTAACGTTTTCAAAGAATTTCTAATATCCTAGCGAATCGGGCAGAAATAGAAAAATAGCAGCTGTCACACGCATAACGGACGTGATGTTGATTTAAGGAAAAATTCAACATTTGCTGAGCGTTTCCCCAGAGCACAGCTTTTGGATTGGTTGCTTTTCCAAATACATCTTTTATCGTCAGCAAAAAGGGGAAACGTATAAGTTTGAAACTGGGTAGCATGGAGTTCCCTGAGTCTACATTTTAAAATAATAATAATAATTCGTTAACACCATTGGTGCACTTTTTTCAGTCCCACTTTCCTAATTTTTTTTTTTGATCCAACGAAACAGAGGCAGGAAATTTAAATTTCCCTTAGAAGTACCAGTTTGATGGCTGAGTAGAGGAGAAATCGTAATTTTGAAATATGTATCCTTAGCGTAGATTATTGGAGGGAAGTTTTTCAAAATGTATTCTCCACCCTTACAAAAAGGGACACAAGAAAAGATTTCAAGTTAGGCACACAGAATCATAGAGGTAATGATTTTGATGAAAAAAATCAAGACATTCGACCCCATCTGTCACGTATTTCAATGGGGACGTACTTTAAATACGTGTTTCCCATTTCGCAAAAAAATGAATGAATTAATCACAATCCAAGGTAAGAGAGCGCCGAAGGCGCGAACATAGCGAGTTTGTTTGCCCGAAGGGCAAACAAACTCGCTAGTAAGAAATATTTATCGCTTTCCTATAGGACAAGTAAGGGGAAGGGTAAGTAATATAGTAAGGGCGTGCAAACTTCGCGCTGGAGGTGAGGGTGCCTCGGCATGGCTCTTACAGCTGGTGTGTGGTAGTGCCCCCAGAATTTGGGAAATTCTAACGTACGTCTCTAAAATTATCTTGAATTGTCTTGCATCTCTTCGTTTTTCATAATGTGGATGTGGAACTAAATAATTGAATGAGGAACACTATGATATTGATTAGCCATTGCATCAGACAGGATATTCCATAATATGTGAATCAGGTTTAAGATAAGACGTTTATTTTATTAACTTTCTTATGATCCAATGTCTTTGCCCAGATTATTTAATAGATGCACTGGCATTGCAGCTAGTCATTGGTCATAATTTCATTTACTTCTTTCTATCGGGGGTTCTCACTTCATTTCTATCACAATCATTATTATTTCTCTTGAAATGTCGATTTCCGGACTTCCAAGTTGATAACGAATAGCCACAATTAACCGAAGGACCACAAACAACCTTAGGCCCGGACCAATCAACGCACCTTCCGAGACTTGAATGATATAAGTGATATAAGTTCGTGGTGCGTAACGTCGGTTGACACTATATCCCCGTAATTATGGTGGGTGCAATTGGTGTCCCACCAATTTTTTTAAATAGTTGGATCTTCAATATCACTGCAAGTAAAATAGAAGAAACATTACAAATATAAATTATTACAAAAATGAAAGCTACGCTCAATTAGAGTTACAGCATGAAAGAAGTCACACGAATTGCAGATTACCTGATAATAATCTCCAATAGGACATATTTTAGAAAGATAACACTTACTAATTACTAAGGCAACTTCGAGATAAAAAATGGCGCTGGGCAGAACGACTCAAGCAGTTTGGCTCGGGTGAGAATGTTTTTGTTTTCTGAGTGATCTGTGTGACTGTGATCCTCCAACTTCCGAAACTAAGTGCGAAGTGGACCCTGAAACCTACGAACTGGGTGAGATCTGAGTTTATCGAACCGTTCTTTGTGAACAGAGACTTTACCATTTTGACTTTTGCAGCGAGTGTTTGGGCCGTGTAGACGCACGCCCCTCACACGAGGCGACATCTTCAGGACACATTCACATATAATGCCTTTACTGTGACAAAGTAGAGGAAGCTTCACAAGCGGAAAAAAAGTACAACCCCGATTTGAGAATGAAGAAGGTGGGACCAAGAGAAGAGGAGTCTCGTTAAACATTGACCGACATAATGGCCGAACTAAGGAACACGAAGAGCGAAATCAACAAAGGAATGAAGGAAATCGAAAACACGGTGAATCTCGTCATGCAACGACAAGTGGAACTAGAGAAGGATCTGTCAGACCACACAGATAAATGCAGTGGTGTGCCAAGGAAGTGCGAGGCATCGCTGGAAATGATAAAAGAAAATCTAGACGACCTGGAAGTCCAAATGAGGAAAAGGAATCTCATCCTGCATGGAATCGAAGAGGCGGAGGAGAAGCTATAACGACTTTGATGTTGGTGAAAGATTTTTTCGCCGCAGAACTGAAGATCCCTGATAGAATACTGGTTGTGAAAGCATTTCGGATGAGGAAGAGAGCAGGAGTACGCGACCCATCTTTACTGAGGAGGGATAAGAAGAGGGTAGAAACACGATTATGAAAGCTGCTAGCATGCGGACGGAGGCTGAAAAGAAACGGTGCCCGATTGTGGAAGATCTCCCTCCAAGAGTAAGAGAGAAGAGGAGGAAGCTCATTCCGTTTCTGATCGATGAAACAAGAATATATGAGAGCTAGATTGCAAGGAAGTAGGCTACTCATTGAGGGAGTAAGATATCGACTGGAAGAAAACCAACTAGTGGCAGAAGGAATGAGAAAGGAGACCCCTGAACCGTCTTCCACCGGCAGAAAGAACCCCAGAGAAGAACCCACCGAGTTTGCGGGAGCGAGAAGTAAGAAGAAACTTGAAGAGGGCATTCTTCAGTACTTGGGACCAAGAAACACAAGAAACAAGACACGGAAGGGAGAGGAGACCGAAACAAAGGACATGCACAGTTAGGGTGATGATATTGAAGAGTCTGAGCACAGCAACCAATGACAAGGGAGTCGAGTTCGGTGGTCCAAAAAAACTTGTGTGCCAACATTACCTTTCTTTCTTGGAATATAGCAGGACTGAGCGGGAAACTTAGTGACCCCCTCCTATTAAGCTACCTGAAGCAGTTTGATTGCGTCGCAATCCTGGAATCGTGGTTGCTAAAGGGGATGCATCTCGGACTACCTGGTTATAAGACCTTTGGTGTAGAGGCGCAGAAGATGAAACAAAGGGTACGCCCGTCAGGAGGCATTAGTGTGCTTGTAAAAGATTATATTGATGTTATGTATAGCGCCCCCTCCAAAGAATCCGCTTATGTATTATGGCTAGTATTAGGAAAGATCTTAGAAGAACCCATAGTTTGCGGACTCTGTTGCAACCCTCCATCAACATCACCGTATTCCGACACGAATCAATTTGCAATCATGGAAAATGAATTGTATGATCTCTTGTACCGTTATAACACTAGCTCCTGGCTGACAGGTGACTGGAATGTAAGGATAGGAGACTGGCAGGAAACAGTTTGTCTCGCTGACCCTAAGATTACTCCCAGGAAAGCATCAGACACCGTGAGATCGAATCATGGAAACGGTGGCTTCCAACAAATGGTGGACAATGTTGATGCTCTGCTTATTAACGGTTGGTTTTCGGACAGCGAAGGGGCATTTACTTACCTGGCTGCCACTGCCCAATCTACCGTTGATTATTTTGTTATCGCTTCCGAATTATGGAATTATATTGAAGACTTCATCGATTCTAGATACGAATCGGATCATTTACCCTTGGCTCTATCTCTCTGCTCGCCTCAGCACAGTAAGAAAGTAGACCCAGTACAGGAAGGCCAAATCTGGAGAAGGTTGTTTTGGGCGAAGGAATTAATGGAAAAATTGAAAAACAGGAGAGAATTCCCTGAATATAAGATGACACTGACGAATCCAAAACACTTAACCAGACCTACGGAGCTTTGGTCTGAGGATCAAGTCGAAAAGATATCCAAGATGTTCAATACATTATTAATCATTCTGTCTGTGTCCTTTGGGTTAAGGGAAAATAAGCTTCGGCAAGGGGAGAAGGTGAATAATGCAGAATGGTTTTATGTAGACTGTAATGTACTGCGCAAGAAGAGCATGAGTTATCTGAAGATATACCCTCTAGGAAGAAAATCTTAGAACATACCTCGAAAAAAACAAAGAGTACCGGCATCTTTTGCGAAAAAGAAAACGAGAATGCGGAGAAAGGATGTCGAATTTACTCAACGATTGTGCATCAAATAGAAGGACCGCGAACCTTTCGGCTGTTTTAAATAGGATTAGGAGGTCAAGAAAGCTGGAAGAGAAATCCCATTCGAGA